ATTATAATGCCAATAAGAAATGAATGGGCAATCTAAGGGACTAATGGTCATTAGCTCATATCAGCCAGTCATTAGTCCCCAAAGAAATTATTTGCACCTCCATCATTGTTGCTTATATGTTGCTCTAATAGGGATAATTACAGTGGGATTTAATGTAATTTCTATTGAAGCTGGTTATCCATAGTATTTTGAAAGAATCAATTTAGAGTGGCTGAAGTGTAGATGTGACTAGAAAACTTTGGCACCAACTGCTAGAGAGAAGAAAGCTTCACTGAGGGCAGGTTGAACTAACTCTACAGTAGTGCCTCCCTGACCTGCTAATTGTGTTTTAGAATCATTTCCTCATGCTGACTTTTATTTTTCCTCTTCTTAACTAAAGATCAGAAGATTAGAAATACATAGTAGGTACCCTAGTCATGAACTGAGGCTATATATGGGAAAGGAAGGGAGAAAAAAGCAGGAAAGGTAAAGCAGATGTTATCAAGGGTAATCCTGTGAAAGCAACAGTCTCTGAGGCTGTATGGTCTAGAAGCTAGGCCATATATTTAAATGCATTAATGTTTGGCCTTGTAGTTAAAGCAGTGATCTTGGTGGGTTCAGGAATGAACTTTTGGCTTATGTTGCAAATTTTGAAAATGAGATACTAGGCAAATCAATTACTGTCTCTGAACCTCAGTTTGTGCGTGTATAAAATGAATACAACAAGTGGAAAATGGGGGATGACATATTTGAGAAAATCGCTATCCCCATTTTTCATCAAAAATTCAAAATTTTAACAAAAATGTGTTGACATTTTGAATTTTGTCAGCCAGCTGTCAAAATGAACTTAATACTTTGTCAGTCTGAACACTCCAGAGCCAGGCCATTCAGGTATAGATTAAGTGAACATCTCAAAACATTTCCCACAAATATGTTTTTTCTCCTGAATTGGGGGGGGGGTAAATGAGTTTGTCCTTTTGCATTCACTTATTTATAATATCCTAGCAAATGAATTGTAATAGAAACAGCAGATAAGAGACTGATAAGAGAGAATGTTCTTAGAAAATACATTTCAAATTTGTGTGAGGTTTTTGTCATTAATTTTTTTGTACCAGAAACATGAGTTTTCTGGTTCAAAAAAACCATAAGCTGCCATAACCAGACTAAGTTAATCTAATAAAGTTATCCACTATGAATGATTCATTTAGCTCTGTCTCTACATCAGTTTTGAGGCACTCTTGAAAGGGAGGGGACAAATGTGTGTTGGAAGTTTGTATGGCTGTTGTGTGTGCTCTGCCTGTTCTCTGGTGAAGAGTGATGGGCTGTCTCCAGAACTCTAAATCCAGCACCTTTCACCAGTACTAAAATTGTGTATTTTTTTAAAGTAGAGATATTAAACTCTTTGTGCAGAACTGATTCTGTTGATAATCCATTCCAAATTGGCAAGGAATTGTGAACATATAGTTTTTAACATTTCAGGCTGCATTTCTAAATAGTTAATTAGTTGTGAACTTAGAGCTTGAAATGTTGCATTGATGATTGGACAATTTTAAAGATGAAACCTGCTCAACAAAACCTGGGAATTCTTGTTCCAGCTCTTGGAAACTCCTCCTGATCAATGACCTTTTTATTTCTAACTTCCGTTTCCCTAAGGATACCGGGTTCTCCTCATTGGACTTGTTGTCATCTGTTGTTGCCCTCTCATTTAGTAACCTCTCCTCTCACCTCCTGCTCCTATGGTCTCAGTGGCAGCTTTGGATTTCTCCTCTTCCCCTCTGACTGTTTTCAGACCCTTCCCTTTTCCTCCTCTTCATTTCAGTCTTTGCCTTCCCTCTCCCTCCAACTGGCTATTACCTCTTTTCTATTTTTTTTAAATCTGACTGTGATGGTTGGCTCTCTTTTTGTCTCTCACCTTAATCCTATATATTCATCCTGAGAGAGTTAAATTTCCATACTTACGTCTTTGATTTTTCCCTCTGAGGTCCCTTCTCATTAACCTTCTCACCAGACATGCCAAACCCGTGGAAAAAATGCAAAAATTGGGCTTGTTTTCGACTTAATTGGCTTGTGAGTTGCTTGTTGGCTAGTTTTTGGCTTGTAGCTTGTTACTTGTTTGGCTTGTAGCTTGTTGCTTTCTTTTTTTTTTTTTTTTTTTTTAATCGGCTCCCGGCAAGGAGGGGAAAGGGGCAAGAAGGGGAGAGAGTCAGGGATGCACAGCGGGCCCACCACAGTCCCAGACTGCACGCTGGGGGAATCTAGTCACATAGAGTGTTGGGGTTCTTAGGAATTGACTCTTTTTGGCCTTGTTTTGAAATGGGATTAGCTTGATTTTTGGCTTCTTGTGAAAGTCGGGGTGCTTATTTACCACGTGAAAGTTGGCAACTGTGGTCCGCACTCAGTCTCCAGCTTTGGGCTGATTCCCCTACTAACTGTCCTGGGTCACTCTTAAACTGCTAGTTATTCAGTTTTTATTAATTCTATAAATTCTAGACCTGGTAGAATAGTAGTCAGTGAATTCTAAACTTGTTGAATTGTAGCCCTTTTTCAATTCTTGAAGCCTTCGCAGACGAAACTTGATTCATAATTTATTTATTTATGTCACTGGCTGTTAGTACCCTGACTCACATTACCAGATACATTACACAAACACAGCAGTGAATCCAAGGCCTGGAAGGTGACAGGAGCATTTCCAACCCAGAGACCTGCCTTCACTTTCAAGGCTTCTCATTGTTTGTGTGCTCTGCACTGTGCTTTATGACAGTTGCTCTGAGTAACACCTCACGCAATGAATAATAATGTGTCATAGCTGCATATCATCAGACCTTCACTCTCACTCCTACTTCTGCGCCTAACAAACTCCTCTACTCCCACACTGTTGTGAGACAAAGGGCCAACATATATTTACATTCAACCAAAACATGGAATTCCTGTCCCATATCACTTACAATCCACAGGCCTCATCCCATGAGTTACAGGGTAACTATCCTATAACAATGGAAGTTGAGGGTGCTCAGCAGTACTTTTCAGAATCAGGACCCCAAAGGTATGGGTGGGTACAGTACAGAGCAACAGAAGCCCGAACAAGCAGAGTGGTTGTTAGTTCATTGCACTTGGGATGCATAATGAAACTGGTGTTTGAAGATTTTATTAAAAAGGAGAGGGACAGTGCTTAAAAGCTTACGTTTTCTCCATCCCAAAATAGCTGCATGTTCTCCCAAGTAAATTTGAATCTTCTAGTGCACTGTCAAAGGCACAATCCCTCTACACATTCCTCCCATACCAAATTCTTTTGCTGACCAGAAAGTTTAACTACTGAATTATAATCCCTCTGTGCACAGCCTCCTAGCTCATATTGCACACTGATAACAGGCTAATTATCTTCTGCTCAAAGGAAATAAACACAACACCTTCAAATGACAAGAAAGAAGCTGGGGCAGGGGGAGAGGAAAGAACCACCATTGTCCTGATATTATTAAGATGACTTGAAAGATACTGATTATCTTTCAGAAACCCCAGGGTAGGCTTGGGAAAGCCCCAAAAGCTTAAGCACTCAGCATATATTCTACATTCTGTGGATATATTAACAAAGCAAAAGCATCCTTGTTTGAGGGTGTCTCCAAGATGCACAGGTGTATTCAATTAGGCACTTTTGTAAATCTGACTGGGTGCCGATCTGCACATGTAGGCATCTACATACCTTTATAAATCTGGTCCAAAGGCTTCATTTACAGAATAAAGTTAACAGAGATAATAGGTGAGTTTCATATCTGAGATATCTCAGATTTGAAAGAAACAAATCTTTGGAATTTATTAGCCAAAAAAGAAACCCAAATTAAATTGTTGCTCAGTGTAGCTCTGATCTTCAAAAGGGCCACCTGTTACATAAAATTATGTGCATAAATATTTGCAGGATCTATATATCTAGAGATTGGAAGAGAAGATTGCAGTAGTAGGTTCAAGGCCTGGCCCACAACTACTGTGGCTCTAGTCTTTTCATTATTGATCAAATATATTTTTTTAAAGATCTGTGTTCGGTGATTATGGCAAGTCAAAAATTACTTAAGGGGATGGATATATATATATTAAGAATACCAGATGTTTGGAATGTTCTTTTATTAAAATAGATCTCCTCATGCAATTGTATTGCTCCTAACATATCTTGTAAATAAAGGTTACATAAAAGTATGCAGATGTTTAAGGTAAGCATTCTGGAGATAGTCATGCACACACACACAATACATATAAACAAACAAATAAATAATACACAGTAAAGAAAGAGCCAAACCAAATCCTGGCTCTAAAGTTGTGCAGGGAACTGGAATTTCCGTTTCACCAGAAATACTGAAATTTCTAAATTTGTTTTCATTCCAAAATGGAAATAAATTTGGAGAGAGCATGATTTCAAAATGAAAATCAAACCATTCTGTTCTGAAATTGTTGAAATGGGATGTTTCAACCTTATCCAAATGGTTTTCTTCAATTTTGTTTTTCAAAACAAAGATTCATTAAAATTCACGTTTCTCTAGAATAGTGGTGGGCAACCTGCAGCCCGTGGGCCACACTTGGCCCATAAAGGTAATCTGCTGGCGGGCTGCAAGACAGTTTGTTTATATTGACCGTCCGCAGGCACGGCTGCCCGCAGCTCCCAGTTCCCTGCCAATGGGAGCTGTGGGAAGACTATCAGTGTTGTAATGTATGGTATTTGCCAATGCATTCTAATCTACTACATGGCAGCTAAGTTTATCAGCACTGTAAAAGGAATTCCACACTACTGAAGCAATGAAATGGAAACCATATGTAATAGTGAGGAAACTCAGTTCCAGCATAAACTAGTGGAGAAGGAAGGGGATTATTATAGAAAATGACAAAGAAAAAACAATTCCTGCATGTAGCAAGAGATGCCCAAATTCCTACTTATATGGACCAAGCCCAGACTTTCTCATATCATGGACTGTGCTTTCCTGCATTGTTGTGTAACCAACATGTGCAAGCTTGTAATATCTGTGTTTCTTTCCTTGCAGGTGTTGATGCCCTCTTCATTACCAGAAATCCTTCTCTTACGAGGCAGCTCTTCCCTAGATCTTGAAGATCGGATCAGATTTGTTAAGGTAGGACTGTGTGTTATGTTGCACCAGGAACAGTGAGAAGGAAAGGTGGAGACAGAGAGGGAAGAAAGATCTATGTATTAAAAATAATGACCTAAAACATTAAAACCCTTATCACTTTCACAAACCTGGACTGAAGAGGCTTCCCATTTTATTATCCATGGACCTAATGGACAAACAGAATAGAATGAGAACAGTTCACAACAGCCAGTTCCTATTATATGTTTTTTTAGAGAATCCTGTCTTAGTAGTATCTATACATATACACCTATATCAAGTATATTCTCCTTGGTCATTCCAGAGTATATGTTCATATATTTCCCCATACATCCTCAGTATTGTATTTTAAAGAAAGTCAAGATGTATACTGCTCAGATAACAATCCAATATTCTGGCATATCATGGGCAGCTATATATTACTTTATATATATTATCTATCTGTCTATCTGTCTATCTAAAATACAGCTAGTAGTATGACTCAGGAACCTTTTTGTAACCTCTGTGAAACCCAGATGATTTAAATACATAGTAGTTCCAAGAGTATATTTCAACACCGTAAGGCTAATTTGATTTCTGAACACTAGAAAACCATGCTGCATATCTTTGAAGAAAGGAAGAGAGAGAAAATAAAATAACCCTTTGTGAAAATGGGTTATTTTTTCCTTCCTGAAGAATAGCTATTTTCCAATCATGTTTACTCCCAGAGAGTATCAGGTATTGTAAACATGTAGCCTAACTTTTCTTTCACTTCCAGAGCTGTAAAACAGGAGTGAAGTATATATTATGAGATTTTGTACACCTTCCTCTGAAATATCTGATACTGACTCCTCTGAAATAGATGGACCATTGGTCTGATCTGGAATGGCAATGAATTCATTGTAAAAAAAAAATGGTTACTGTTATTACTGGAGTTTTCCATCACCGTTCTATAAGATGGTATTGAAAGGGGATTGTGTATTTCAGATGTCCTGTGATTTTTATAGCACTGTTCAATTTAGATACAAAGCACAATTTTAATAAGAGTGGAAGAATAGGAAAGTGAAAGAATAGGGAGCTGGCCACTGTGTGGGGAAAGTCCAGAGAATTCAAGGTTAAGGCTGTTCTTTTAACTATATTTTAATACATTTGTGTGCATATATGCAGAGCCTTACATCTCTCTTCATTGTGGGCTAAATCCTAAGGTCTGTACTCAGTTCTTAATCAGCAATTACTCAGGCAAACACCTATTAAAGTACAGGCATGTTATATAGCATACATAGATCTCAAAGCATTTAACAAAATTGAGGGTTGATCTATTCTGGGAATTTACATCAGAATCGTTATGTGTCTTGGGGTGTGTGTGTGAAAAATCCAGTCTAGTGTCCTATTCACTTGACCAGACTGCCTTAAGAATTGGCTATTAGAAAATAGTGTACAGTGCATGTACATTACACTCAGGCTTGACAGAATTTGATTATTTTTATAATTTTGACAGATAATATTGATAATTAGTTTTAAGCATTTAAAATAAATTTTCACAGTTGTGTAAAATTATGGAGTTTGAGCATTTTTAAATTTTTTATTTATTTAAATAAATAAACAAGTCAGACAGTTATTTAATGACAGTCAATGTTGAAATTCAAAAAGTTAAAGGACAAATTGTCAACATCATATGTCAAAATATACAAAGTATTTATCCTTAAATCAACAAATCTGGCATGTTTTTGCAATTTATTTGCTAGTCCATTTGTAACAAGCTTAATTCAAAAGTCTAAATCACTAGATTTTGACTCGAATATGTTTTCAGGCAATTTTTTTCTTACTTTGATCATCTGTAAATTTTGATTATTATTGATGGAAATAGTTTTATCAGTTTGTGTGTGTACAGTGAAATCGATATTTACCAACATTTATCATTAAAATATTATCTTTCTAAGCATAAAAACACTATTTTCAAATCTTAAAACTTGAACATGTCTAAACAAAGTTTCGTCCCACCTGCAAAAGGCACTTTTGCTTGTTGAGGATGAAGTATATTCTAGGTATGACGTTTTTAAAGAGGAGCCTTCTTTAATGTATATGGACAGGGAAAAAAAGCCTCTGAAAATGTCTTAAATGCTGGGAAAATACCACTTATTTTATGTTGAGAAATCTCAAAAAAAGGCCAGATAGAATTTTGTCTGATCTCCAAAAACTATGATCATCTTTTGAGCTTAGAACATGTCGATAAAATTTCAGTCCAGAGGTTAATTTATTTGGAAAGTTATAGCACTTGAAAATAGAGGCTTAAAATGGAAGTATCTCCTAAACTACTGTGAAGTCTAACAACTTTCAGCTGTCAGTACTTGAAAAGAATGTAGGAAACTTCACCTAGAGCAGATGTGTAAGGCACAGTTATTATATACTTATGCCATGAACAGTTTTCCTCTTGGCAGGGATCCTCTCTATTTCTGTCATGTTGTTCACGTACAGACCACTCCTGTTTCCTCACTTTATACCTTTCTTCGAGGGCTTACATTGCTGCCTGCAAAGCACTATCCTTCTGGATGATGGGGACTTTGGAACCAGTTTATGTTCCTTCATCCTTGGCTCAGAGTTCTCTGTTAAGCAGTGTGAGGCCCTTTTCCTCCTCAGAACACATCATTCTGAACATATGCTGAGCAAGGAAACAAGACAGCAGAATTTACACGTATATATCTCCTGCTTGGCACTGCAGAGCAACATGGCTGCTTGGTTGTCTTCTCATGAATATTTTTAGGCATATACAGTTAAGATTCTATTCTCAAATAAATAAGAATTGTATTTTCCAGTCACAATAACTTCTTAGGAGAAGAAATTAAGATGGCTGAAACATCCCCTCTCTATTTCAATGCATCATATTCTTGCTACTTAAAAAACATGGGGGGGAAATTGCTGTCACTTTTTAAGTAAAAGCGATAATTCCCAAAGTACTCTATTATGCATGTCCATGTCTTCTTGTCTTAGAGTTTGCAATCTTATGAATGCAATTTAGTAACAACTGAGAGATATTCTTCCTGTTCGCTCTAATGACATTTACAAAAGTAGCTATACATAGGATGGTGCATGAATATAATATTAAGGTCCAAAAATATGTTCCCATGTACACCTGTAGAAATCTGGAGTGACTCCATTTAGTTCAAAGAAGTTACTCCTCACTTACTCCAGTGAAAATGAAATCAGACTCTGACCTCTGTGGGGCTCCATCTTGGTGAAGGAGTCCACTTTTGTGTGCCTCATACTGTAGGATCAGGACTTAAGGCTGCAAAAGTGACAAAACTTTGAAGTGGGAAATTTTGAATGAAAGCATTTGGTTCCAAGCCATTTTGTGAACCGGAAATTCTGTGGATTTTTGTGGAAAATAGGGAAATTTATGAGTGCAAATTCATCAATGTTCACTCATAAAATTGTCAAACATGACATATTATATAGGAAATTTGCAAAACTTGGCCATTTTCAAAAATTCAGAATGAAATGGAAAAATCTTTTGTTCTTAATTTTTTTTTCTTCGGTGTGTGTGTATGTGTGTATGTACACAATTCTCGTTGTTTGCTATGACTACCACTGCAAAGGCACATTTTGGGTGCCACTACGCCTTTGACTTTAGGAATGACTTTACAATTTGGAGAGCCCCAAATTGCCATGGTGGTAGGAATCAAGCTATGTATTTCTTCTGTATTTACTCTCATTGCTGTAGGGGAAAATTAAACCAGTTTGTGATATGAATTTAATAAAGGAAACAGAGTCCCAAGATGTCATTTGTGTAATTTGTACCTAATGCCTGTCCAGTTTAGTACATACTACTTTGCCCTGCTCTTTCAGCATTCCATGTTCTTGAGAGGGACACCTACTCTGCACTTAGGCCTTAAATTCATAGGGACCTAAATTTATTTTAGTAAAACCCTGGGCACTAGACCTCCCAATTTGGTAATATTACAGTCCAAAGAGAATTGCTTAGAAACAATTTAACTCTCTGAATTTCTTATAACTTTGTCTGTTTATACCCTTTCATGAATGCAGTTTTTCTTCACTTAAATATTATGGACATATTTCTCCTCACAGATCCACAGTGCTAATCTCTGTTCCTCATTCTGTTCTCTTTCTATATGCAGTCACCTCAGGTGAAAAAGAGAACCTCATTACAGATTGGAAAGGAGAATTTTGCCCCCAAAGTAGAGGGCTTCTTACTTACTTTCACAAGACTTTCAGTCACTAAATGTTAGGCCCCTCTTGCAAAGAAACTCGGATGCAACTGAATTCCTTTTCACAGATCAGCAATTTGTGTCTCATTGAAGAATAGTGCACATTAAAACCCAGACATTTTTAACTGCAGATTGTGATATTTGTGTCTGCAGCTGTCCAGTTGGATTAGCAACACAAGATTCAAACAAACATGCTGAGAATTTCACTGTGTGAAGTGGAATCAAGTTTACAAGGGAGATCTTTACAAATGGAAGATGCAGCATCTGGTATTTTCCTTCCAAGCAAATATTTTATGGATTCATAGCTTAATAGGGTTTAAGGACAGAGGAGACTAACAGACCATTTAGTCTGATCTCCTGAATATTTCAGGCCATTAAATTTCACTGTTACTCCTGTATTAAGCCCAGTGACTTGTGTTTGACCTGTCCTAACCCACCCCTGTGTTCCAACAACTGTATAGCAGTGAAGCCAAATTTCACATTTGGGAATTGTGAATAGGATAAGATTAAATCTAAAATGAGCTGGGAGATCCTAATATATACAAAACAGTATGTCTAGACTCCTAATGTTGAAGGCTTTGGAGCTTAATTTTGGTATTACTCACACTGGAATAAACCAATGATAATCAGTGGAATTGTACATGTGTAACATTGGTATGAGTCAGATCAAAGTCAAGCTTTATTTTCTTACTGTATCACAATCTCCCTAAAATATACTACTGGATTCTCACCATTCCTTAGTTACTGAGACATGCTATTAAGTTAATCAGAGTAGAAAGGGCCTAATCCAAAGCCCATTGAAGA